TATCGGTGTGCCAAGCTGTGAGGGGATGGGGTTGGTGGGTGTGGTGGTGGTGTTTACAATGCGAAAGGTCTCTTAAAAATCAACTGCAAACAGTGCTTAAAGTAAGGGTGTAAGCTTAGCTTTGATAAGAGACGAGAATGCTGGGGAAAAATTTTAGACAAGAGAAATGGGAGATACCGTGTAGTTGAAGTAAAAATAAACATCATGTTCACACTGCATAAACTTCAAGCTCAATAAAGTATTTGTTTTGAATACACACAAAAACGTCAACAAACAAACAAAACAAATCAAACTGTAAAATCTGTAAAATAAAGGTTAAAATTAGTAATACCTGCTGTTTTATATTTTAAAAAAAAAGATAACGTAGACGCCCCACCCACTCTTTAAAGAGGTGTTTTTGACAGCACTTTGGATAAAACAAAGCCCTAATTCATTGTTTAGCCGCTCAAGTAGGAAATGAACAGGACATAGTTTTATAAACATACGATAGCCTTACAGAACCGGTACAGGAACAAAAGATTGGGAATAACTCACAGCTGAAAATCTTACGGATATCGTCAATTCACTAATGAAGAGAACGCCATTACATACTGTCTGGCTGTAAGAAATCATTAGAAATCGTGTAGAGCTGTAGTAGTATTAATCATACAGAGACAGAAACAAGAAAAGGAAACACATTTCCTCTCTGGACTTAAAGTCGATGTACTGGTAATTATTTTTCTCTGGTAGCAAATATGTAATAGTTTGACGTGAGATTTATTTATCCTGACTGGCTTAGTCCTAATAGATAAGCTAGGCAAAGACATGAAATAAAAAAAAAAAGAAATTCAAACATTGAAATGCAGCTTTCATAGATTGTAACATGATATTTTTAATGCATGTAAAAAAAGAGCGAAGTTCTATGTTAAACTAGCTTTTCATTTATTCGAAAAAGGAATGTGTATGTGGATGTCTGCATGTGTAATTAAAGTAAGTAACGAAATGTACGGTTTAAGATAATTGGTAGTTTAAATTACAGGTGAAGTAGGGCTTTTCTTTACGAAGGTTTAGCATAGAGCTGGATTTGAATGTATATGTCAATGTGAATTTGAATGTGGATTTGAATGTGGGTTTGAATGTGGATTTGAATATTGATTAAAATGTGGATTTGAATGTGGATTTGAATGTGGATTTGAATGTGGGTTTGAATGTGGATTTGAATGTGGATTTGAATGTGGATTTGAATATTGATTAAAATGTGGATTTGACTGTCTATTTACAAGCTTAATGGGAGGGGTTGTGGTTGTGATGTTGGTGCGGTATATCATTTCCACTTCTGCTTGTTTGTCTTTATCCCTGTGCACTTCATAAAATAAAAGTATGATTTGAAAACAACAATGTGCGTTAGGATAGCATAACGATTTTCTTTGATTTACTTTTTAAACGTACTAAGGGCGGTACAAACAGTACATAGTCATTTAAAACCGTTTTAAGCAATAGCATAAAGACGCCAAGATATTCAAGATGTTTATTTTTTTTACGTAGGCCTATACAGTACAGAAGTCATACTTTCAAAATTATTTTTAAAAACTCTCTTTATAATAGTTGGATGAAAAATCTAAAACATTATTTTAAACACAATTATACATATTTATTATTACTTTTTATTATACACATAATACATGATTTATTAAAGACACAATACAGGATTTATTATACACACATGATTTATTATACACACAATACAGGATTTATTATAAACACAATATATTATTTATTATAACCGCAATACTGGATTTATATTAAACATAATACAGGACTTATAACATTGTAAGTGAAGATGCAAGATTCTATTTTCTTTCAACTGTTGTGATTCTTGCAATTTTTTTATTTAATACTCGCGATTTTCTTTTTTTACAAAGAGTAAAAAAAAAAATCTTTGGTTTTATCAAATTTTATTATTTTAGAATGGATGTGTGTAGGCCCTTACAAAGTTAAATAATAATAAAGGAAAAGTTTAATAAAATGTTAGAAACTTTTTTATCTGAAAAGAATTTTGAAGAAATGGCATTATTACAATATTAGCACCATATAACTAAATCCCTTAAGATATTTTTTCCAAAGTACACCCAGAAGTAAAATTCTTGTAGCTGTGCACTATCCTGCCCCCCCCCCCACCTCACCCCGACACCCACGACTTCCTCCTCTACCCCTTGGACGAATAGATCAAACAAACAAACAAACACGTCGCCAACGTTTTCTTATCTTCAGAACTTCTTGGGGCTACAGTCTTGATTTATGCAATGTTTTCTAGGCCAGTGATTCTCAAAATATTTTAAAGCTATCTAGATTTAAAAAAAAAAGAAAAAAAAAACTACACAATCAGCTTCGGAATTTTGTTTAGCTTCAACAATTTAGCTAGTTTCTGAATAGATAGGAAGGGTTATAACTTTATAGTGTACCGTGGTCGATTAACTTTAATAAAAAGTGTAGCTACATCTTAACAGGTTTTAAGGGTGTGTGGTGGGGGGAAGAAAGAGAGGGTGGGTGTACTAAAATGTGCGAAAACAAAGAGTTTAATAAACGACAAGAAAATCAACAACAAAAAGCCGTCATTGATTCATCGTATCCTTATATCATATTACCATTATATTCATATTGAGTAATTACTCTAGGTTTTGTTTTAGGTTAGATATAGTTAGGATTCCTCTTTAGACCTAGCGATGAAGTAGAGTTCATGTTTTTTGACCTCTGCATATGAAGGGATAGTGTGGTCAGCACTATACCCAGCCGCCTTTACTTTCCCTAACTTTGAGTTAGGTACTCATATCAGAGCTGTGTGGACTCAGGGACGTTCTACTTACTTGAACCCGGATTCGAACTTGAGACTATCGTGTTAGCAGTCAAGCGCTCTACCACTAGGCAACACAATCCCATGTGTTAGATATAGGTAAAGTGTTACATTTAAGCCTTAGGATCCGGTCTTGTTATCAATGATAATACCTTTATCGTTATAAGAATATGACTAAACAACCTCTACCAATTAGCCTATACCAATTATCCAATTATCATTAATACCAGGTGTATTCGTTTCAGGTAACTCGACTTTAGCTATGAAATGTCTAAAATGGGGAAAACTTGCTGTTGTATTTCTTACCATCTTCACGTTGATAACTCTCATCATGTTGATATACACAGAGCCGAGCTTCAACGTATCAACAGTTACAACAAATGTTGAAAATACTGCAAATGTTGAAAAGTTTACTATAACCGATTTAATTGTTTCGAATAAAACTTCAACACAATGGGATATATGCGAGAGATTAAGTAACGTCTTAAATGTATCTTGTGTTGACTGTGTGAATAAAGATGTAAGAAACGTTGTGAATAACTTAATAGATGTGCCTTTGGTGATAGGAAAAAACGACAGCTTTTTTACTCCGGGGAAGGAAATTGTTCAGGAGTTTGTTAATGAAATTCTTATAACGCCAAGAACATGTACGGGTGATTGTCCTTACATTCTGGCCCTGCAGTTATCCGTCGCAGACCGGAAACAGGAACGTGACGCCGTGCGCGAGACGTGGGGGAGTGTCAGCCGACACCAAACATGGCCGCGGCGCCACGTGCGCGCCGGGGTCAAGGTCGTGTTCGTCGTCGGCGGCGCAGAAGAGAACTCGAGTCTGAGCGCAACTCACCGTTTTAATCAAACGCTGGAGGAGCTAAAAAAAGAATCGGAAATTCACGGAGACGTGTTGTTTCTGCGCATGACGGATACGTACCGGAATATCACGCTGAAGCTTGTTTCGGCTTTGAAGTGGGTGACGGAGTTTTGTCCCTTGGTGAAGTTTGTGTTGAAGGTTGACTTCGATACCTACGTCAATGTCCCGCTACTGGTGGATACGGTGTTAGCTCTGGAAAAACGTCTGGAATTTTCTATCCTCGGATATATTTACAGACTCAACACGAATGTCGTCCACAGATCTGGACGCTGGGCTGTGGATAGGGCCTTGTATCCACTGGATTACTATCCATACTATGCATCAGGTAAAGTTATAAATTGTGTTTAAGTGTTAGTTTTTTTGTATGTTTAATGAACACCTGTATCAATAGCAATTAAAATATAACCGTATCAATGACCATCATCGTTTTCGCCATGGCCATTAGTATTACCATAAACATAAACACTACCTTATGTATATTTGCCATTATTGCCATAAGAATAAGAATAGCCATTAACTTCAGCATTACCATAACCTTGAGCCACAATCATAATTATAATCGTTATTATAATAATTCATAACGCCACGACTACAATAACAATCATGTTAATAATCACAATTATAATCATACTTATAATAATGATTGATAATATTTATAAGTTCTCAACTACAATTACAATTTTATTAATAATCATAACTAATTGTATTATTAATCATGAGTATAATCATATCAATATCAATATTCATTATTATTATAATCATATTAATAAAGATTATTATAATTGCTGCTAAAATCATAATTTGTATTAGTAATCATTATCATATTCACTGTACAAGATTATAACCATATCAATAATAGTAGTTATATCAATAATTCGAATTATAATCGTATTGATAATATCAATAAAATCATTATAATCATCACCATCAAAAACACATATAATCAACGAACCATTCCTTTAAAATTAATTACACTGAATAATCAACACCATCAACAACACATATTGTCAAGAAATCTTTAGTTTATAACTAAATAAACAGACAACACAAAATACGTTTCTCCTAGTGTCTTCATCAGAATTTTTCCCTCTTCAAAATTTTTTAGTAAAATTTTTGTTTTCTTGACTCTCCTCAGGCTGCGCGTACCTGATTTCAAGCCAAGCTTTGAACAAATTAATTCAGGACGTCCCGTACGTTCGCGTGTTTCCAGTGGAGGACGCGTTCATCACGGGAGTCATGAGAAATGTGATCAAGTGCAACTTGTTCTCCATGGAGGCGTACTTCACACATTATAACGACCGTTTACCCTGGGGCCAGTGTGAACTTCAAAGCGACCGAAAGATCGTTTCAACCGGGGTAGATGTGGACACACTAAAACGGATGTGGTCAAGTTTGGAAAATAATAAATGCAATTAAGAAAATAAAAGACATTTTTCTTAAATATTTGATAAAGTTGTTTAACATTTAGGTCTAAAACTACGAATGTTTCGGAGTACGAACGACGGCAGGGTTACGTCTCAACGTGGTTAGTTCGTAACTCGAAGCAAACTGTTTATAATCTTCTGACGCCCATACCTTCTTTGGATTCTATATAAAAGTACTCACATATCTAATGCTTCCCTGCATTAATCCAGTGCTAGGTCGCCGCCTGGGACGGAGTGGCCTAGCGGTAGAGAGATGGACTGCTAACCCGTAAGTCTCGAGCAGACCGTCCCTGAGTCCACCCAACTCTGATGGGTACCTAACCCACGTTAGGATATGTATAGGCGGCTGGGCATAGTTCTGACCACACAATCCCTTCACATGCTGATATAACAGAAACAAGTGAACTCGGCTACACTTGCTCCGTAGATCTATTTAAACATTTCTTGTTAGCACATCTCTCAGTATTAGAACTCCAATCAACCAATCCATGTTAATACGTCCTAGACATCTGTTTATTAGGACGTCCCTTGACCATTAAGTATTACTACGCCCAAAGACATATGTATAAGTATGCCCCTAGACCTCTCAATATTATTACGCCAAAAGGCATCTTCTTATTAGGACGCCCTCGAACCTCAAACTATTAGGTTTGTCATAGACATCTGTGTGTTAGTGCGCCCCTGGATATTACGGAGCTAAAGCTCCTCTAAGAATTAGAACCTCTCTGGACATTCTTAGTGTTAAGACGCCCATGGACCTATAAGTGTTAGAAATCACCTTGATCTCTAAGTATTAGGACGCCCGTAGACTTCTAAGTATTAGGACGCCCTTAGACCTCTACGTATTAGGACGCCCTAGACCTCTACGTATTAGGACGCCCTAGACCTCTACGTATTAGGACGCCCCTAGACCTCTACGTATTAGGACGCCCTAGACCTCTACGTATTAGGACGCCATTGTTGTACCGGGGAGAGGAGACGAAGAGAAGTCTGCAGGTACGGCAGCACGCGTCACGTGATGTGCGGCACGGTGGGGGTATGAGGTCACCGTACTCACAGCCTGCGGAAGATGTGGAAAGTGGGGGTGGGGGTAGTTAGAGCATTGGTGGGTGGAGTGATATGGTACACTGTACAGATGGTATAGGGGAGATGTGGTACACTGTAGTAGCCTACGAACCTCTCTCACCCACCCCCCACTTAAATCTTACCCCTACCCGTAACGTTCATGTAAGCATCTTTGCTAAACCCGCTCTCAACCCCCAATACATCTTAAGGCAGTTGATAACATGTATGAACCCCCCCCCCCCCACTTAAATCTAACCCTTACCTGTATGATTCGTATGAACAGGCTTACACGAAGCACGACAGCACGTCTTGTAGTAACTGATGTAGCTTAGCATACTAGCCTGATTCTCTTAAGCGCATGACACATTGGGAAAGTCACCTCTCAGTTCATCCCCGTACACACAGTCATCTGTGTAGGGAACCAGTGCAACATGTGTTAGTGTGTAGTACACACCTGTCTGACAATGTCACAATAATAAAGTCTTATTTAATGGTGTGTTAGATTAATGATAATTAACTAAATACAATTACTATCTTTTTGTGTCAGTGATAACCTATTACCTAACCCTATTTGAGGGTCACTTCATAATCTATTGAATAACTTAACCAATATTTATAGTTGTTTAAATGGTAGTGTATTATTAAATAAGAGATAAATGGCCTTTTGAGGAGAGATACAAAGGCGCTAGGTTGATAGTGTTGTCTTTTTCTCTAAGAATGTTAATGTAAAACATAAATGTGAGAATTATTTTAATCCTTTTAAATACATTTTAAACTGTTCACGGTTTTATTTTTTATGATAAAAGGAAAAAAACATTTTTTCATAGCTGAAAGGGACATTCTGTAGCTTTTTTAAAAAAAAATTTCCTACGTTAGCTCTCTTTGAATTTCAATGCCACAAGAAAAAAAAAAATTACGGCAAAGATAAACAAACATGAAAAAGGTTCTCCTTGTTGTTAACTTATAGTTACCTCGCTTGAACACATGTTTAAAAAAAAAAACAACTTTATTATCTAATATTAATATTTATTAACATTTATTAAAACTAAATAGATAAGTTTTAAGACTTTTCAGTATACAAATTTATATTTCATAAAATATATATTGCCAATAAATAACATTTAGTGCACAAAAAAACATAAAATGTAAATTTAAAAGAGAACTATTTTATTCCTATCAAATTCATTTTAAACTGTTCACGGTTTTAACTAAGATAAAAGGAAAAACATTTTAACAGCTGAAAGTGACATTCTGTAGCTTCTTTTTTAAAATTCCCTTAATTAACTCTCTTTGAATTTCAATGCCACAAGAAAAAAATATTTACGGTCTAAGGGAAACAAACATGAAAAAGGATCTCCTCGTAGTTAAGTTATGGTTACCTCGCTTGAATATGTTTTTAAAAAATATCTTTATTTTATAATATTTAGTAACATTTATTGATTCTAAATGAATAAATATTAAGACTTTTCAGTATTACAAATTTATATTTCATAAGATATATTGCCAATAAATTTTCTAAGCTTGCTCCTTTGAATTACAATGTTACAAGAAAAAAAATTACGGTCAAAGGGGAACAAACGTGAAAAAGGTTCAACTAGTAGTTTAGCCATTGTTACCTACCTTGAATATGTTTTTAAAAAAATAACCCTATATTATTTTTTTAAAAATTTATTGATCTTTATTCAAGTAAATAGAATATGACATGGGTCACAATATAATCTGTTGGATAACATTACTAATATTTAAGAAGAGACAAACGCTTTTCTTTACAGTTATTTAAATAGTTGTGTATTGTTAAATATTAAAGAGCATAATTTATTTTCTACATTTTAGCACATTATTACATAAAAGCTGTTTTAAGAAAAAAAAATTTCAGTACTTTAAATTATTATTATTTAAATAGAGATGCATGTCTAAATACCATTGCGCAACTCATGAACATGATAACGCGCGTATAATAGTGCGGAATAGTTGGATAAGACAGACTACTAATTTGGTCAAAATTTTAATTAATTCAAATTTGAAACGAATCTGTCAGAATTGCCCGAAATTTCGCTCGGGCGTTTCGATCTAGGCATATAGACAAACGACAGACTGTCCACAGACTGACGACAGACAGAAAAGGCGTGTTAAATAACAGCTTAGAAAAAATCAAGAACACCTGTCATGATAATATTCAATTTACGTAGTGTAGTTTTTGTCTTTTTATTTAAATACATTTTAAATTTTTTTTTAAATTAAAAAAAACAACAACTGACGCAGCGTTTTATGAGGTTTTCACCAACACGTTTCCGAGGTGTGTATATTTTAGACGTTTGCCTTCTTTTCTAGAACAGTGGTAACTAAATGTAAACAATGTCGGCACTTTGTTTCTTGGATCTTTGTTGTTAGGGCTAGTTTGTCCACATTACGAACCAGCATCTTAGGCGTAGCGAGGGGTGCGGAACGCACCGGGTGACATTATTTAGGGGGTGACACCAAGGCAAAAAAATAGCAAAATATATAGAGAAAAACTCGAGGTGGGGTGCAAATCGAAATTTTGAGGGGGGGGGGGGGGGCAAATCGAAAGTCTGAGGTTGGAAAATTTGAAAGTTTGTCCCCGGGAAGGGTTTCTACGCCTCTGGGGGGGGGGGGGGGTGACACTACTTCCGGTCACCGGAATCACTTAAAATTTGCCGTAAACCCGTGAATAAGATCTTATTTCTATTTATTTTAAATTTCGTCCATCTGTCTGGAACTTTACTCCGTACTATCGCTAATTTAAACACCAGAAAAACTTGAACTCTGATAAAGAACTACTAAATTTGATATAATATAAACGTATGACATTTCTTCAGGGGGTCATCGATAAATGACGCCATGCTTTTTTGCCGATTTTTACCCCCCCCCCCCCCCCCCCCCCCCTCCTCTCCGTCACACGTCGTCACACCTCAGCCTAAAACCCCCTTCAAAATCGCTGTTGAATTTTTTCTTAAAACATCGATATTTTTCCGAAATCTTGCCAGAACTCTGTCAACAGAGTATTTTAATCAATTCCTATTAGAATTTATTAAAACCGTTTTCTAAAACGCGAAATAACGGCTAAAATTCGTTTTTTAACACCATATAAAATATAAACCCTTTCCCGTCGTCACACACCGTCACAAAATTACGGACCCCCTCCCCCTACGAGTGTGACGTCATTTATGGACGACCCCCTCAATATTACTGTAACTACACAAGTTATGCTGTACATTGTCAGACACACAGACATGCAACGTCAAGTTGACCATGATTTTTATCCAAGGTGTTTTAATTTTATTCAGAGCCCCTTTTGCTTTGGCTTATCTATAGGCCTACTCCAACATGAGTTTTGCTTTCTTTAAGCTCCAGGCATGTTTGTCATGTTCCAAATCTCATGGTGCATTTTGGTAAAAGTTTAGCTTGGATAAATTGTTTAGATTTTGATCAACCAAATTTAAGTGAAAAACTAGTTCAACTTTTGCAAGCATACACTGCTTTAAAAAGTCTAGATCTATTAAAAACATACAGAAACATATACTAACAAATCAGGAATTAAATAAATAAAACACCGAATATCTTTTTTGTTTTACTGGATAGAGATCACCCACTCCGCAAATCAACATAACTAATTATGGTAATTTAAATAAAAAAAACTAAGAAAAAAACTTGTCTGAAATAATTATATTTAATATTTTTTACAATGTAAAGCAAAATGTAAAGTAAATGAGATCACTGATTTGTCTAAAACAATTTTTACATGCCTTCAAATAAGCGAATAAATAAAATTATGTACAATATTGTCATAACAGAATTGTGTATAAAAATGTAAAACAAAACATTAGAATTTTGATGACGTCATTGTTGTACCGGGGAGAGGAGGAGAGTAGTCCGCAGGTACGGCAGCACGCGTCACGTGCTGTACCG